CCTGCTACAGCCTCCTGAGTAGGTGGGATTATAGGCATGTGCCACCATGCCCAGCTAATAGGCCATTTTAATGATTACAGATGGAGCCAGACTTTTTACCCTTCCAAAATTCAGCAAGCATTGTAATGAATATTTCTATATGACTTTCTACTTCATCAGCATTCCTGAATCAAAAATTAAAAATGCTTTTATGGGGGCCGGGGGGATAGCTCAGTGGAATAAGTGCTTCCCTGGCAAGCGCAAGGGCCTGAGTTCAATCCCTGGTTCTGCAAAAAAAAAAAATGCTTTTATGGTTTCTGATAGGTAGAAATAATCACATAATTTCCACAGAAACTGGGCAAACACCTACAAAGTGTGTATGTGCTTCACTGCATTCTTTTCTAAACAAAGGCTACCAGTTTTAAAACTCCTTACCACCTTGAAAACACTAAAGAAGGAAGCAATGAAGGAAGTCTAGTCCCACCACATTCTAAGACGTACAATTATCCAGCTACCTATGTGGTGGAAGGGAATAAGTAAAGAAAAGAATAAATGCATAACTTTTACTTATAATTTTGAACTGAGTAAATGTTTTACAAATTTAAAAAGTAAAATTAAAACAGAGAAAAAGCAAAATAAGAAATAATTGGGCCTATATGTATGGCAAATTGACAACATGACTACTTAAAAATCAGCATTATTTAGAGAAGTTATAAACACTGAACTGTGACTATACAACTTGTATACACAGTGCAAAATGAACTAGAGAAAAAAATCAGTGTCCCCTAATTCTGTCCATCACAAAGCAAGCTATTTACATATAGCTAGTATAAATCTTGGTTCTTGAATACCATTCCCAAATAAAATCCTTGGTGAGTGTGTTTCCAGACCTGGGGCAAGAAAACAGAATATGAACTTAGGATGTTTTGTGCCCTGGTTTTGAATCTTGGTTCTGCCACCAAGCTGCACTGTAACATCAGGGTAATCATTTTATATTACTTCTCTCTGGTTTCCCTATCTACAAAATGGGTCTATAATAATAGCATTTACTTCACAAAACCTTAGGGGGGTTAATAGATAGAGATATAAATGCTTTTAAAAGAGCCACGATAAGCCTTAGGTGCTTAAAAACAAAAATATATTGTTCTAAGCCTCTACTTAACACTTTTATATTTGTCCCATTCTAGGTGTTCAACGTCTTTCCCTCTAGCATTATTCTATTTCTTGAACTTTAAGCACCCACAGAGCAAACCCATGTCAATTTCTTTTTAAATGTATTTAGTAGAGTCTACACAATCTCACTATGTAGATCAGACTCCTAGTGATTCTCCTGTTTTCAGCCTCCCAAGCACTGGGATTATAGGCACGCCCCACCACACCCAATCTCAGCAGTCTCAGCTCACCCTGGGGGCAGGGCCTGCACAGCACACCAAGGAGCAAACCCCGGCCACTGCACTCTGCCTAAGCAGGCGCTCAATTCTTTAAGCTAAAATATGCCAACATACAATAGCATGAAGTGTGTTTTATACTGAAATAGTAAAACAAATGTGTCCATTATTATTATTTCCATATATACCACAACCTATAAAATACTCTTAAGGTTGTGTTTGCTATTTATTTTAACCTATTATCTAACATTTCAGGAAAAACAAAGTATGCAAGGTCCACTAGTGCCAGATCAGCCCACCGGTTCAATGGCCTGTCTCTAGTCTGACCAATTTCTGATCCACAAATCAAAAAGTCTAAAGAAAAATAAAATTTTCAAGGAAATAACAAAGGAGCTTTTGTATGGATTTTTTTTTTAAGTACATTCTACTAAATTCATCTGGGAGACCTCTAAAGCTGATACTCAAAGTACTCACTTTTTTTTTTTTTTTTTTTTTTGGCGGAACCAGAGTACTCAACATTCAGTATAGAAAAATTCTGAGAAAACAAATCCTGCTCATAACAGCGTTCAAGAGCTCAAATGCACAGTAACCACATTTCAGCTCTAAAGTAAGTTTCAGTCGATTTTATAACAGGAATTTTGAGTTAAAAAGACAGATAAAGTCTAGAATACTACACTTTGAAATGCAGGAAAAACATTGTACTTCTAAAGTATTAGGTTCCTGTGTCTTATCACTGGAATGAGATCAAGTTAAAATATGGTGGTATTCTTAGGTCAGTTCTAAATTCTTTAAAATAGGGGCTGGTGAGATGGCTCAGTGGTCTAAAGCACCTACTTAGAACAAACTAAATTAAGCAAAGCACAGGGACTGCGGTTCAATCCCCCAGCACCACATGCCAGCCAGCCCCATCCCCTGGTGGGCTGAGCTGGCCACACACACAAAATAAATGAATAAATAAATAATAAAAAAAAAATTTTTTTAAAAATTCTTTAAAATACACCATGCTGAGATAGCTCAGCGCCTGCCTGGCAAGTGCACAGTCCAGTGTGCAATCCCTGGTACTGAAAGCCATGTAGGCCCCAGGACCCCTGGAGCGCAGTGTAAAGGCTCAGAACTGGGCATGATGGTGCACGCCCATAATCCCAAAGCTGGGGAGGCTGAGACAGGAGGATCACTACAAGTCCAAACTGCATAGCACGATCCTGTATCAATAAAAAAATAAAAATAAAAAACACATCATGCTACCCGCTAAAATTTTTAGTGAACTATCAATCCATATGCTATGCTTGTGGCATAATTCTTCACTGAAACTGTTCTCTGCCCTTCTATACATTCTGAGAGTCATGTTCCAGTGTCTTGCCTGAGACAAGGACAAACCACCTAATTTTCTGTTTATAGAACAAAGAATCTTAAGTCACTTTTCCACAGGGAAGAAAAAAAAAACAGTAAATCTTTCAGGGAAGAAGCCATGTTCTTACAAGTAATATTTATGATGACTCAAACTACAACAAATTACAGTTCTGTATAAACACTACATTTTTTCAAAGTGATTGAGGAAACAGCTATAAAGGACAAAATGGTTATGCTAAAATAAACTATGGATTAGGCCAAAGAATCTTATCAATGCTAAGCATCCCAATTTTGATCATTGTGCTACCATTACATAAAGGGTCATGATGTCCACTACTTACAAATGGATTAGAAAAAAATATGCATATACAAAAAAAAGAATATGAAAACAAACATGAAAAAGCATTGTTTGGTGAATTGGAATGAAGTATTTATTGGTTCCTTGTATTCCTGGAAATAAGTATGCTTGAAATTATACAAAACATGAAGCTTAAAAAAACAAATCTGATAGACTTACCTGTCTCTCACTCACTCGAAGAGGGCCAAACACAATATACTGGATAAGTTTAGCCACCAACATCAAAATACAGCAAGCAGTATTTACCAGAACCTGTACATAAATCAAAGAAATTTTTAGTTTCTCCTGTTGAAAAATTCAACCACCCTGAATTCATACTAGGAATTCAGCCAATGATTGCACCTTTCCAATTCTCTTCCAGTCCAGAATAAGCACTATTCGAAGGGGGGTGTATTATGGGCAGCAGGAGTGGGTAGAAGTGGGAAGAGAGGCTCCAGCTCAACAGTCAACCCTGCTCGAATGTGTCCCTCCAGTAGGCCACCTGACCTTCTAGCCTTTATAATAAATGTTGCAGCGTGTGCACAAAACTATAAAGCACCTTATTCACTGCAGGTATACTCATTTCCTATACTCATCTTGATAGCTTTAAGAAAACTATTTGAGGGGGCTTGCCAGTTAGCTCAGGTGTTTAAAGCACCTGCTTGTGCAAACTCAGTCTGGCACAGAGGACCACGATTCAATTTCCAGCTCCACAAGCCCCACCAGACCTGCCACTGAGGTCAGTCTGAGCTGGCCAAAAAAAAAAAACAAAACAAAACAACAACAACAACAAAAAAAAAAAAAAAACCTTCTCCAATTAAAAAAAAAGAAAACTGTTTGAAAAATGAAAGCTACGATGATCAGTAAAATTCATCACCCAAACATCCTGCCCTACCAAACAGGAGGTAGCTATAAAAGGGGCTTAGGTCATAAAAATCATAAGACCACGGAGAATTAAGTACTAAACACACACACAAAGGGACAAACACACATACATTGATATATATTGTCAAAAGACACCCTGCCAACCAAAAGATGACTTTTCTCCATGCTATGTATCAGCTTTGAAGGTTCTGGGGCACCAGGGCAGAACAGGGCAGGTAAAACAGGAAGGAGAAAGAAAACGAGTGGAGGGCTAAGAAAGGTTACCTTGTGATAACAAAGCAAAACCAAGGCTTTCTCCCATCACTTGTAAAAAATTATTTTTTTAAAAAATTAAGAGATGGATGTTACAAGTAAACACTAAATCTCAAGCTTACAAAATGGAAGAATGGACTGTCCCTGACCAAAAGGTTAAGGAAGCATATCACATTATTGATGCTGAAATAATGTGGAAAATCAAATGATCCAAAAAAGTCAAAAGGCCTTAAGATGATCATTAAAGAATTTTTGTATTGCCACCATGCATCAAGGCAATGTAATCCCAGCAGGGAGGGAGGTTAAGGGGAAAAAAGCATTTCAAGTTCCAGATCAGCTTGAGCTACAAAACAACGCTGTCTTTAAAAAATAAATAAATAAAATAACAACTTGACTTTTATAGTGCAAAAGCAAATGAAAAGGAACACTAATTCAATGAAAAGGAGGCTTCAACCTTTGATCCACTGTTCATAAGTGGCCCTGTTCCTCTTCTCAACTCACTCTGCCCTATAACTTTTTTTTGTAATAATTTTTATTTATTTTTTTAAATGAGCTTTGGAGAAGCGCTTTCTTTATTTTTTTTATTTTTTTATTTTTTTTCTTTTTGGCAGAACTGGGGATTGAACTGAGGCCCTTACGCTTGCCATGGAAGCACTTATTCCACTGAGCCCCTGCCCTATAACTTTTAAAAACAAATGATAATTTGAGAAAAAGAAAAGTGATATAAAGAAAGTCACTTAGCTGGCCGGGGAGATGCCTCAGTGGAATAAGCGCTTCCCTGGCAAGCACAAAGGCCTGAGTTCAATCCCTGGTTCCGCCAAAAAAAAAAAAGAAAAGAAAGTCACTTAAAGCCCACTTGGCTCAACGGTCTAAGAGTCCGCCTGGCAAGCACAAGGATCTGAGTTCGATCCTCTGTATCACACACTGTGCCAACCCCAGAACCCTAGGCACACTGTGTGGGCCCCAAAATGGTACAGTGAAACCTTGTACCAAATACAAAATATTTAAAATATATATTTTAAAAAAGCCCACTTCTTAAGTATCTCTTTAGTATCTTAATACCTGCGTAGTATCTCACACACCATCCACCCTTTGTACAAAGCATACTGACAGCCCTGATTTGTTAGATAGAAACAATAATAGTGTGAGGAAGTAAGTAATGAAAAACAACAACAAAAATATTTGTGTGTGCACCTGTGTGTGTGCATGAGTCTTGTATTTGTTATTTTGTTTTTGTCTGGAGACAGGGTCTTATTTTGGAGTTGAGGCTGCCCTTGTAGCTCATGCTGGTCTTGAACTCTAAGCCATCCTTCTGCCTAAACCTCCCAAGTACTGAGATTACAATATGTACCCCTACGCCCAGAGTAATATAATAAAGAGTTGAAATAAAAAGTTTTGCTGAAAAAATAAAGTTTTGGTACTTAAATCTCTTCAATAAGTAGGAAAAAACGAACCTGAACTTGTTAACCAAAACATTCCATATCCCTTACTGTGAGTCACTCTGTATCAGCTCTATTTAAAATAAGTTCCAGATAACTAAGAACACTTAATTTTTGAGGTAATGAAACAGATATTACAATAGGCATATCTTTATTGTAGTCTTCTAGTCAATGGTAACCCTAGCCACGTTCATGAGGAAAAATGACATAACACAAAATTACCACCTCATAGCACACTCTGTAGCCAAACAGGGTATTTCAGTTAGCCAAACATCCACCAGATTAATGACAACACAGTTCCAAAAAATAATTCTTCCTGGTTTGCCTGTAGGCATACGAGTTAAGAAAATAAATAAATACAACACTTTCAGCACTTGCTCAGGGGAGGTGGGAGAATAGAAAAACAAGAGAAATCTGGACCCTGAACTCAAAAAGCTTTTAAAATTTCCAAAGTAGGGACCGGGGAGATGACTCAGTGGAATAAGCACTTCCCTGGCAAGCACAAGAGCCTGAGTTCAATCCCCAGTTCTGCCAATAAGTAAATAAATTAATTAATTAAATAAAATTTCCAAAACACACCAAGCAACTGATTTCACAGAAACCCAAGCAGACTACTATGAGAGTAATGAAGGAAAAGTATTAAATTTAGGATCACTTGGTTATTTTTTTACCCAAAACAGCATCAGTAGCTTGGACCACAAAATTAAAAATAAACTATCATTTGTTATTTCTCAATTAAGATATTTTTGTAAACTTCCTAAGTTAAAAGGGAAGGTACAATCGCCTGGCAACCATGAGGTCCTGAATTCCATTCCCGGTAGCCACCCTCCCCCAAAAATAAGGCAAAAGTTTCTTTAATTTACCCCCCCAAAAGTGGTTCAAGTTTCTTATCATCTTATCATCCATAGGTATCATTTCCTACTTTAATTTAAATAGCAGATTTAAAAATAAGGCCAACTAAGAAGGAAAAGAGGGCTGAGACAGTATAGGACATTAAAAAGGTCATTTATGTAAAAAGAAACATTAACTTTTGTTATCATTACATGAAAACCAAAGCTACAAAAGACTGGAACAATTCAAAATTATTTTAAAATTAATTAAGGTTTATTGAAGAGTTAATATTTAATTGTTTGACCAATCTTGCATAGCTGTATCTGGTAATCTGAGCAACAAATCTGACAGTAACAACATGTAATATAACAATCACTGTTAATTTTCTATTCTTGTTTTGAAATTCCGTACCATTTGCATTATCATATGTTGCCTTGTTTCTGCCTTTGTTTTTTGCTCTTTAAAATAAAATTATAAAGTGTTTTATAGAATATCTTTATAATTATTAATAACTATCCTATGTGCCTATAAACAAATAATTTCACAAATAATACATTTTTCCAAATAGCACAGAGTAACTTCTCAACCTGTTGCAACTGCAAACACTGAAAGAAGCACACTTGTAGCTTTCTTCATCTAAAAGCAAATCTCAAATCAGATCCCCCCAGGTACCCAGGAAACTCCAACAGAATCAACATTTCAGCCTGGATTTAAGTTGACACACTTTCCTAGCTTTGGTTCCCAGCACTGCAAGCAGAAGTTAATAGTGAATAAATTCACAAAATTGTGGAACAAACCTTCTCATCTCCAATAATTATTCCAATAATTCCAGTAAGTCTGATCTGAATCACCACTTTATTCTCTTAGATAGTAACAATATAAAAGCTAACTTATTTTATCTGCTCTAGAGAGATACCAAGTTTTCTTGTAGGCTGAATCCAAAACAGGCTTTTTTTTTTTTTTTTTTTTAAACAGGCTTTAAAGAATTCACTGAAACAATGATAACAAAAATAGCAGGGCCTATGAAATAGACTGCAAGACATGCACCTATGGACTCAAATGAGGCCAGTAAAACCAAGTCCGCAGCTCTATGTTGCTATCCTTATATGGCACCTTCTAAATAAATGAAATATCAGAGTTCCTTCACTTTAAGAGTAACTCAAGATAACAAAAATTCAAGCTAACTTCCAGATCACTGAGAAAAGCAAAATACAAACATGTGATTAATTATACTACACTCCATATAAAACAGATGTACACATGTGTGTGTGTGTAACAGGCAGATGTGAATTGTGCAAAGGACCTGGAACAAGCCAGTTATTTCTTAGCCTCCCACCTAACATCAGTACTACTTACAAGAACCTAGTAAGGCCCACTTCTGACAGAGGGAAGCAGGTGGGAGGAAAAGAGGAAGTTTTACTTTTACTGTCAGTTTCAAACCCTTTCAATTTTTAACCATGAACCTGTATCATTTATTTGTAATTATTTTTTTTTTTTAAGATCAGAACCTACTAAACTAATCTGGCTAGATCTGAAATTCCACATTATTTTTCTCACCACATAAGAGACAGATTACTAACAAACCAAAATTGGGTGGCATAAGCCACAAGTCAGCCAGAGCGCCACACTTAAATATCCAAAGGGCTTGTCCAGCTTCTTACTCTCAAAGCAGAATGACTTCCTCTACTGCCTGTTACCTCAGTGTTCTCCCTTTACTCTCTTAACCTCCCCTTTAAAAGATCCCAAAGTTTTTTAAATTAACTGCCCAGAGTACAGCGATTCAGCAGATGTCAGGCCTTGTCTACCCCAGACCTTTCAGAGCTCGACACTTTTTTTGGTTTTGTTTTCTGGGTTGTTTGTT